ATTCCTGCACCTAATTCACCTGCCAGGCCTAAGGAGACAAGCAGGGGCCTGCCACCAGATCCAGGCTAGGGTGAAGGGGCCTAGAGTGGAGGGAACCTGAGGGCCTGGGCTGTGTTCCTGGACTCAGCCATGCCCATCGGCCCTGCCTTGCCACCTCCCATCCTCTTCATCTTGAGAACAAAGCCAGTTCCACCTGTGCCCCACCCCAAGTGTACCCTGCCATCTCCCAGCCAATGGCTCAAGTGCTAGCCTCCACTTTAAGAGGGAATGGGTTTCTTCACCCCTCTCTAGCCCTGCCTAGAGAGACTCCCAAAAGCAAATCTTATGTGGGATGCCCATAACTAAGGGAAGGAGCCTGGGAGAATCAACAAACCAACTCTCACCTGTAGGGTCCAGGGATATCCTACCACCTCCACCCACGGGCCCCTACCAGGGTCAGGGCAGCTTGGCCTTGCCCAGAGCAGGGAAACCAAAAACAGAGGCAGGAGAGACAGGCCTAGGTGGACATAGTGATAGGAAGCAGGGTCATGGGCTGGCCGGTGGAGGGGGCACTCACCTTTTTACAGTACACTTGGTGGCTGACCGATGATTTGAAAACCAGGTCTTTGAGGATGGAGGCAAAGGGGGTGACCCCAATGCCTCCTCCCACCAGCACTGACACCTCAAACTTATGCCACTCCTGGTGGCCCTCTCCAAATGGTCCATCAAGGTACAGCTGCAGGGAGGGGGAGTAGGTTTGAGTTAAGCTCAGCTAACACTATAGTTCTGAAGCCAGAAATGGCAAGGAAAGGCAAGTAGATTTATGGAATGAGGAGGAAGTGGGGGACTGTGGCATTATCTGGAACAACCAGTCTCTAGATGGGTGGTGCTACAGGGCTAAGTCCTGCTAAAGGGATGTGGGAGCATGTGGCACATCTGGCCTGGGTCCGGGCACCTTTGGGTATCTGGCACAGCTGTCCGTCGGGGGTGAGTAGATCTCCCTGAGGCGAGTGGTCCAGGGCCCCACTGCCCGGATGTGCAGGCTGAGCGTGTCCTCATGGGGTGCGGAAGTCAGCGTGAAGGGGTGGTACTCGGTGGTCCCCAGAGCCAGGCAGGCAATCCGCACCCACTGTCCTGACTTGTATTCAAAGCCTTGGGGCCGCTGGAACTGCAGGTGGGTCACTCCTGAGGAGGGGAGATGGGTGGGAGGCTGCTGTCCTAAACCCAACAACAACACTGTGGCCTCTAGAGAGTTCCCCCACCTGCATCCTCAGCTCTGCTTCTGGAATATAACAGGGGACCTCTCCCTACAATCAGAAGTCATTCCCCCCCTCCATGTCTACCCTGAAGAGGAGCTAAGTAGCACTGGGGATGGTGGTCAGTGGGCAAGGGGTAGTCTGACCTGGGCTCCTCCTCTTTGTTGTAAGAGAGGCTCAGGTTCCCTGGCAAAGAGTTTCTCTCACCAGCTCTTTTGTCCCTGATACCCCAAAGCCCCTGCCAATTCTATTGGGCCAGGCTAGGAGATTGTGGGGCCCAGGTTCTGCCCCTGCTCTGTCACCTTCCTTAGTACCACCAAGCTGATTCCTTGACAATCACTAGGCTTGTACCTGAAGGCAGCAGCTCTGCCTTCACCACGCTGATCTCCACCTTCTTCCGGCTCAGGCTCACCAGCTTGTCCCCACCATAGATTAGTGCAGGGACCAGGAAGAAGATGTGGAAACGGGGCAGCTGGATCAGAGCAAAGCTGCCATGGATGATGAGCTGGATAGAGTGAAAAGTACAGTTCAGACTCAACCACATCCACAACAGGGTGTGAGGCCAGCTTGAGGCT